ATTCCTCTCTAAATGGATTTTCTTACATATACTATCTCATTCTGCTTTATATACAGTATATGGATAAGGGGTGTAGTCTCTGTGGAGATGTTATTTGAATGTCACATCAAACATTTAACAATAAGTGACCATTTAAATGTACTTGACCAGCTGGCTTTAAAACTTTACTATTATATTATAAATATTATGGCCGTTTGTATTAAATTTGGTATCATCCCACTACTATACTATACTTTTTATGATATAATGTCTGCATGTTTTCTTCTGTTTATATATATTTTTTATAAATGTTACATTCTTACTCTCATTCCTCCAACTACTGAAAAATATTTGTGTTTAACCAATAATGCTTCCCTATGTTGAACTGTGTCTTTCGGCTGTTTGGGGCTGGGTACAGTGGATTTATTAGAGATTTATGCACTGAAAAAGCTGTGTGCTGTGGTTGGAAACGAGGTGGGAAGACTGAACCAAAAGAGTAAGTAACCAGAACACCATTTTGAGGGACTTTTTTAGCTCCTACTTCAGATTTTTACTTTTTTTTTTTTGAAAAACCTGTGTAACTCCAGAGGTTTCCTTATCTGTTTTTGGATGATAAAACCTTTAAGACTGTACCAGAATATCTGAACTGATATATTACTACAGTGGTCGTCTACTCACCCAGAGGCGATAAGTGCACGTGACTGAGCCATGGCGATACGCTGCAGTGCAGGTCGGCTCAGCCCTGCTAGACTGGACCGGGGCGGCAGAGGGGCTGCGCAGGCAGCAGCCCCAGATGAAGACACTGGACCCAGGACTCGGGCAGAAGGCGAGGGTGTGCAGGTGGAGGCAGCCGTGGAGATGAGGGGAGGGCCTGGAGCGGAACAGGAAGCAGACAGGGAGGACGAGGTGGAGGGGTGAGGGGGAGAGATGGTGGCAGATGACAGTGTGGTAGACGGTGGAGGAGGAGGCGGTGGAGGAGGGGGGAGAGGTGGAGGAGGGGGACGGGTGGAGGAGATGGATAGGGCGGCCGTAGCTGAGCCAAGGAGGGAAAGGGAGTGGGTGAAACCTCCTCCAAAACCAAAGTTGGCACTGCCAACACCACCACCGCCGACGATGCCTACACCTCCTGGAGCACCCATACCACCTACACTGAAGCCACCTGTCGCCCCAACTATGGATGTCCTGTGGGGGGAGAATGACCGTGACAGGGAAGGAGGCCGAGGGAGGGTTAGTGAGTACGACCCTCCTGGGACAGGCTGACTGCTGATTTTGGGACTAGGTGGCTTGGTCTGTGGCGGTCTCCGACCCAGAGTGTGAGCAGTCGACATGGCGCCCGCTTTGACACTCAGCACCAACATACACTGCTGACAGGCGCAGGGCTGTCCCAAGGAGGTGATGGCCGAGGCAGGGAGTGCCCCGCTGGGGTACGCGCTCCCATTTCCAGTCCCACTGTTGCTCATCCTGACCCCCATGCCCACTCCGGATACATCCACACCAAGCAGTCCTCCATGGCTGGGCATGGACATGGGCCCCCAGGCATGGTGGGATTTGGGCAGGGGCCCGGACACCAGTGGGTAAGCCAGGTCGGAGCGACGCTGGATGCGCCTGCAGCGCTGCGTCTGCCCGTTGATTTGGGTCATGCTTTCGAAGTCAATGAGGTAGCAGAAACCAAGCGGCGCCAGGTCCAGCCAGGGCTGCTGACGATCACGTGCCGCCTGGATGGCGATGCCCACCTCCGTGTCGTACGCCGTCCAACTGCCAGCGTCGTTCTCCCACTCCCACAACCAGCCCTGGCCCGGCGCTGAGGTGGGGTCGTAGAAGCTACGTCGTACCGGTCGAAGGGTACCTGAGGCAGGGATTAGGGGGTCATAACAATGCAAAAGATTCATGCACATTGTTAAAATTTTAACAAGGTGCAACAACTATAATCATTCAGTCATAACATGCATTTGAACTTTCCATTTGGACAGATTTAGCGCTTGTCAGAGGAGATTTGTAGACACGTGCAAGACTTTTACTGTAACTGTAAAGTTTGAACATCTTTCTTTCTCCACTTGAGCTACTATCATGATGCTTGGTGATGAGAGGTAGTTGCAATAGGAGGTCGGTGACTGACTGTGGTACTATTTGCTGTGGACAAGTAGATTGCAACCCTAACAAATTCAACATGTCTGTGTTTGCTTGCTAAGAATTTGGGCAAACAGGTTGCCCCTGGTAACAGCACACGGTGTTCTGAGTTCTGATTGGCTGGCAGCCTTGATCCGACCCAAAGCTGGCTGTGTTTGCTTTCCCAGGGTGTCCAGAGAAACTCTACAGAGTCTTCATACTGTAAAGCCTTCACATATCAAATAACGGTGTCTGAAACACAAAGTTTCTCAAATATGAGCCTCAAAGTGAGAGATGAAACCTTTTTTGGGATTGTGTGGCAGTTTTGTTGGAACTGTAAAAAGCACTTTAGATGTATATTTGACAGTTTAGCCTCAGGTTAAACTTATACACAGGCCAATTAAGCATTTGAAATACAAAATGGAATCAAGGATACAGCCAAACAAATTTAAAGGCCTCTGAGAAAAAGAACAAAAAATAATTGCTTTACAGTATGTGTGGCACAGTATGCCTAGACATTTAACAACAGACAGAGGAGTTCATTCATAAAACCTGCCCCCATCGACCCCATTTTATCAATGACCTCAGACTCCTGAAATTCCTCCCCAGCCCTATCCCCCTAACCTCCTCCTCCCCGTCTCCTATTTAGACTGGAGCACCCCCCACCCCCCTTTCAGCTTCTGCTGGGTTTGGAAAACAAACTGCACAAAGGCTTTTGTCAGCCAATGTTGAGAGAGAAGGGAAACGTTGGGGTCTCTGCCAAAGTTAGACATCGGACAACCGACAATTCCTTGCTTTGTGTTACACTGCTCAGCTTGCATCTCCTTTTTTTTTTTATGAAGCTTTGACGTGTAGAAGATGACTTCTTACGTCCATATTCGGCTATGAAGGAGACAGCAGTATTGATGATAGTGTTTGCTGTGAAAGGATTTCTGTGTCTGTGGCTATGACTGGACACTTCAGCTGCTACTGTGGCCTAGGTGCCATATGCAAACACACACAGGTCCTGCCAGAATGACTCACTGACACCTTTTAAAAATCACAGACACACAGCATCTCTCCCCATCCTTTAATCCCTCCAGATAAAAATTAAACCTTACGCAGGGAATCTAAGGGAGACTAGATTTAGGGCATCTAAAATGTAAAATAATAAAAGAACCCCAGTGGCATTCATGTCACTGCTGCAGGAAAAAACTAAACACTCCCACCAAGGCACCAACTTCTTGGAGCAGAATCAACATAAAGGCTTGCAAAGATAAAGTAGACACACATGAGCAATTAAAAAAAAAAAAAAAAAAAAAGGCCTCCACCTCAGGGCCCTGGCTACACCGTTACACCCTCCTCCGCCTGGTGTGTCTCTCCCCTCTCCTCTCTCCTCTCTGCTCCTGCTCACCTGTGTCTTGTCGGAACTGGTGCATGGAATGCAAATCGATGATGTAGGGCGAGAGGCGAGAGTCCACCTGGCCGAGGACAACACTACCACACCGCGGGTCGCTCCGGATGACTGCCTCGATGTGATGACAGACAGCCGGGCTGTAGGGCCGCCAGCGTCCGTGCTCGTTCAGCCATTCCCATACCACTACGGCGGATGCTAGTAACATCCTACTCCTGCAAAGATGGAAAAAGGATAAAGCTGACAATACGGAGGCATACGTGAAAGCGAAAGCGCGGGGGTGATGGGCATTTAAAGATACCCCGCTGCCGCTCCGCCGTGCATCCCTGCGCACAGCAGCGCTGCATCCATCTTGGACAGTTTGCAACCCAGATGTGTCTCCTATCTGTGGATATAAATATATATTTTGGGGATGACACTACATGCAAACTGTACCTTCCATGTTTGTAGTCTCGGTTATGCAGCAATTAGCAGGTCCTTTTTATCACACGGCGAGGATACAGAGCGTTTCAGGGCGCAAAAAGCCTTGCAGGATGGTTGCATTTTACTCCCTATGCAGATGAGTGACGTCTACTGAAATCATTTCTCCGGCACAATCAAGTTAGGGTGAGAGGAGAAAATGCAACTTGGATGCTCACGGTGGTGCGGCACTCGTGAAGTAGGTTACTGTGACAGACTGGCTTTGATCGTGCAGTGCAGGGTTACATTTAAAGAAAAAAAAAGAAAAAAGAAAAAAGAACCAAAATCTGTGCTGCCTGTAAAAGGGAGGACCAGATTCCTGAAAGCAAATAACAATACAAATATTTACCTGGTTAGATCGGCTCCAGTGTCTCCAGTCAAATCCCAGTTTGAGTGCTTTAGTAATGCTCCATCCTGTCACTGTGACAATGTCTTCAGTCTTCAGGTGACATCCCGGATTTCTGGTTACATAATTTGTTTGATGAAAAAAATCACTTGAGTTCTGTTTTAGTCTACTTTTACTCAAGCTTACGTATCGGTTCCTGCATAACAACTCGATCGAGTGGCTCTCACCCACCACTGAAAATGATTTGGCCGGCGAAAAATAAATGTTTGACATTCGCGTGCGTGAACACTCCCACGCCTCGAAGGCCTCCGACATCCAATCAGATTAGAGCAAGCACCGAGTCTGGCCAATCACTAGCGTCTCTCATCTGGCTCGCTCATTGTTTATTGTATCGCTAATATAAATCGTGAGTTGTATTGATTGTATGTTAATAGCAGGTGTTTTAGACTACACGTTTTTTCTTATAATTTAGTTTTTTCTTGAAATGAGAGAGAAACAAGTCTAAAAGTCATGGAGATGCCGGGGATTGAACCCGGGACCTCATACATGCGAAGCATGCGCTCTACCACTGAGCTACATCCCCATTGGTTAATGGCAGCACAACTATGGCTTTTATACAGATTGACTATATGACACCGTAGGATATATTTTTAGTGTTTATTTGATGCTATTAACAGTATTTTGCTGCACTGTGTATTACGACAAAAAAAGGCAGTATTCATGTAAAAGCGTAATGTTTATTTATACTTTGTTACATTGTACAACGTCTCACAATGACAACAAAACTGTTCATGAACTGCATCTGATCATACATTCATTAAACAGGAAGTAACCTCAGTCAAATATTTACACGTTTATCACAGGTTTTGAGTTTATAGTGACCTTGCTGTAGTTTTATTTCATGGTATCATTATATCCTTAAACAGCAAAGATACATAGCATGTTATAGTTTTCTATACATTCAACAAAACATCGATCTTTTCATATAGGCAACCACTCATTTGTACCACACATTCAATGTAACATAATGTATGAAATGTCACTTGATGGAAAGTTTGACTCCCATCTGCAATAATACGACCAGAGATCATTTTCATTGTTTCATTGCTCATTCTGCCAATTGAATACTCGATTAGTAATTCAGTCTATAATATGTAGAAAAGTTTGCTGAAAAAATTACACTCATGACATTAAGATCAGTATAAACGCAGTTAAAAGTTTTTGCTTTTTAATTTTTTATATAAATGAAAAAAAAAACATTTAAAGCTATAAAAAAAAATATATGCCACAGGCCACAATATATAGCGTGCAACAGGCTGATGCAATTTGATTTCTTCACTAGCCAAGCCAGTTTTACATTATAAAAGGTAAACTCATACACAAACATTCAAAATCTAAACCAGTGTTCCTGAATATTTATAACAACTTCATTCACCAATCACCTTCTTATCCTGATGGCTCAACGGGAAGTAGAATTAAGACCAGAGTCAGAGTTACCACTGAGGACAATGGGGTCATATGTCTGGGAGTTTACATTCTGCAATTACAAACGTACACACAGTGGGTGTTTTATAGGCTGATTGCAGTAGTTTTATACTGCTTTTAGTGGGGGGAAATAAAAAGTACAGGAACTATTTGAACAGCTAATTGGAGGGGACACATGATGTCAGTATATTGAAAGTCCTGGTTACAGCCCTGCTTAAGACTATTTCCTAAGCCTTTCTTGTATTTCATGTTTTTTCAAATGATTCTGTCCTCACAGTGCAGTCACATCGCTGTCCATTCCCCCCTCCTCAGACCAGATGGCACTTCCAGAGATCTGCTTTAGATCTATCAACAATCCAGGTGCTCCACTTGCTTCACCTTTACTATCCCCATCTCTGGATTTCTCCTCCCCTCTCTCCCCCGTCTCTGCCTTTGCCTCTGGTTCATCCATTAACCTGACATGTTCCTCTCCCACTGAATCCCCCAAATATGAGTTATCATCCGAAGTGATACTTTTTCTACTAGTCTTACCACACTGCTCCTCCTCCTCATCCTCATCCTCATCTCTCTCACTGTCACTCCCCTGGCTGCTACCCACCTCCACCTGTTGCTCCTCATCTTGGACCTCCTGCATTTCCTCTCCATCCTCATCAGTATCACCTCGAGGCCACAGCTGGACTCCAAGGCGTGCCTCCAGGGCTAAAGCTGTACCTCTCACCCAGTCCCTGACCCCTCCTTCTTTATACACTATGCGCTCAATGGTATATTCTCCATTGGCCTCCCTGTTCAACTTCTTGTACAAGAAAAACAGCAATGCAAGTAAGCCTAATAGGCAGAAGAAAAGGAGCAGCACTGTCGTTTTGGATTTTGATAGTTGGTCAGACATGCCTGAGGTGAAGAGAGAGAGAAGAGTAGAGTTAGCATGGTCACACATGGGGATTCATTCATTTCTAGGAATGTTTTTGGATGTAGTGGCACTGTCTTTTTATTCTTCTTTTTTCACATTCACTTTATTGCCGCTAATGCCACATCTGTATGATAAATATGTAGGTGGATTTTATTACCTTTGGTCAGAGCCAGTTTCCCCCCTAAGTACATTTTATTTGAATGCAACTTTCCCAACTCACGAGCTAAATAAATACAGTATGAATAACAGGAAGCTAGAGTCTCACAGTTCTTATGGTCTTATGCAATAGCCCACAATATTCACATTACAATGGCTTCACACAGCTACAAGTAGTTTGCAGGTCTTTGCTGTAGCTGCATTTAGTTTCCCTCCTATTCTGCTAAACTCTGCAGTTTGTGACTTTGTGGTTACTCTTTTACATATAGGGAAGACGGTGAGAGAAGTTACGCTTTGACCCACTTGTGCGCAGTTTGATTGACAAACGCAGGTCCAGTGATGACCATTGGATAAAAGCAAGATTTTAGAAAATAGTCTGCTCTTAACTTTTGAAAAGTAGAGCCAATCAAAATGTGGGACATCATCTCAATATGTAGGATGTGGAATAAAAATGATGTTCAGACCCAAACAAAGTAAGACACCTGGTCACCCCAGTGCCACATTCTTCTGTAGTTTGCATGTTTTCCGTGGTTCTCTCGAAATTTCAATCGAGGCAACCTAAAACAGGTTGACGTGGACACCAAACATTTTACAAGGCTAAAGACTCAATCCACTGTTATTCCTTTCCAAGAGCACCAGAAATCCTCTCATTATGAAGCTGTAAACCCCACAATACTGAGACAGATTAGAAATGTACTTTACCTCCTTAGAAAATTCCCTGTTGTAGAAAAGTTCCGTTGGTTTGGTGTCACAGTTACAGGCAGGACTTTGTAGCCTAACTCCTTGTACTTTCAAAGCAGTTGTGTAGTTGTCATCAGAGGGAGATCCATTGGTGAATTTAAATTCAGGATCTAAAAAAAAAAAAAGTTAAAGCTTTAGATGGCTCAGCATTTATTCGAATAATAACATGTCTATATCATCTTGACAAAAGAATACCAAAATAAAAGTTTATACATTCAATTAAATTCTGAAGTGGCATTTCAGGTTCAACGCACTCAAAATTAAGCAGATTGCCAAGAAATGCCAATAATTCTCCTTTAGAAATCCTCTCTAGTGTGTTATTATATTTTCTTCTGCACTTTTTTATGCCATCTAATCCTGACACAATTATACTGAGAAAGTTACTGAACGGTCATAAACCACTGGCTCATAATAGTATTATACGTACATACACTGGAGAACAGGAAGTCTGTATTGCTTTTATCTTGTTTGACTGTAAACTGCTTGCAGTGGAGTGACAGGAAGCTAGCAGACCGCTCACAGTGTTGCTGGTTTCCTGTCAAAATGATAATTGAGCAGCATCAGTCAGCCTGCCGTGGAGGGAAACTACTTGAGTCGTAGTTAATCATACTGAGATCTGACATTAAGTGATAGAACATAATTTTTAATAAAAAAAATTAAATTACATGAAATAAGTGCACTTAAGGTGCAACTAAACCTAAAATGAATGAGGATAATCAACAAATTAAAGCCTGCAATATTGTAATTCTAACTATTTACATGTAAAGTCTTAAGATTAAAATATTCAAGGATCTAAACTCAGATATTAACAACATATGTATAAATAGAACTGCAATTAAATACAGAAAAGCAGACAAAACATGAGGCATTTACATTATATTTAATTAATAAATTATATGTAATAATATGTGTGTAGCAAAAACAAGTTAAGAAGCTATTCAAAGTACAAAAAAGGAAGCAAATAAACACTTACCTAAGTTGTGAGCACAAGATAAGTCTGAAGATAAGGTTTTGTGCTACCAGACAGTGCACTAACACAAACTGTGGTAAGAAACTGACTTGTGTGACATTTAGGGTACTGCAGTGTGACAGCATATGAAAAACGAGAGAGGGGCTGATGCATGAAATGTGGTG